GATGTACTTAAGGCACACTCGTATCCTAAGATCCGGAAACGGACTGAGTCTTCCAAGAACTCACATCACACGATCTCAAAAGTACGCTTGCTAAAGAACATCACATCTAGCCGGAATGATGGTCAGAGGCATGGTGTCGCGATGGAGCAGGTCTCTACGCATAGTAAATATGTAAGTGCATTCACAGCATGATCCTCAAGCAGAACATGGCGACAGAAACGACTTGGCGAACCATGGGACTCTATTGCTTACTAGTGCAATTGCCATCGGCACAATCGCATGAAGGCAAATGCATCGACAAGACCATACAACCGTCAATTGATGGCATCATACCATGGCCAACCAAGGTCGAGACAGATGTGTGCAGCCGTTGCTGCACTGCATGGCCTTCGAATATGCCGGACTCACAGCTGAGAGGCTGGGGCAGATTCCGCACAAATTCAAGATCAATCCCTGCAGCTGCCCTCCGTCGTTGGGCGAGGCATGCTTTAGGGCACCGGGTTTGTGATCTCAGGGCTTGGCTATTGGCCATGGCTGAACCCATACTATAAGAAACACTACCCACAATGGCACCTTTCACTCAGGGAGCCCACTTGGGAAGTCTTGACCTCTGACTCTTGCTTCCACAAGGGAGGATCCGGAACTTTACTGCATCCATCATATCGTAGGAATCTCCCATCTCTCTCCCCAGCTCCGAAACTTTCTAAACACACCTCATGAGACCCGTTTGGAGGATGAGCCTGAGCTCAGGTCACCGAGACCTGAAGCCGCAGAATTACATGCTCACTCGCAACTCCATGTGTCAAGCCCGGGGGCGGGTTCAGGAGGACAAGAACCACCACCAGCGCGACCAGTGCCATGAGGTTTGTCAGTGTATGAGCAAGTCTCGGTGTCAGTATGTTCTTACTGGGACTCGGCGGTCGATCCATGGCTCTATGGCTTTAACTGCTCTATTGACGAAGTAGTTCTTGCTGCAACCTTGCATTCGTCCGAGTAAGCCTACTACTTTGTGAAGTGTTTTTTTGTGTCTATCGTTTGTCCGCCATTCAAGTCCTCTGTTCTGTGGTCAAGAAAGCTGCCGGGGGGATGGGACGCTTTGATGTAACCCTGCCTATAAAACCTCCAAAAAGCCTTATGGAAGCCCTATAATTAAGCTCCTTGTTTTAATCCAGTATACAGATCCTTGCAGTCGAAATTTGATGTTCGATGGTTGATAAGAGAAGTCGGGGCAAAAGTCCTTCCAGGAAAGCCCTACGCCTTAGGGTTTGTGGCTTAGGGCCACGTTCGACGATGCGACGGGCACAATCGCCTGATTCCAAACCTACCACCCAGCAGCCATGACAGTCTTAGTCTTCTGGACCCTGCAAGCGCTGAACACCCAAAACCCGAAAGCCTCAAGCCTTAGCCTCTTTGTTTCTGTATCTCTCTCTCTCTCTCTATCTTCTATATCTTCTAAGACCGCCCAAAAAGGCTCAAGCTGTCTGACTTTGGCTTGGCAGTCTTTCTGCTCTGGCCTCGGGTGAGGGTTCAGGGCTTATGACTCAAGGTTTCGCTTTGGCGGTTTTGGCGAAGCAGGGAGCTTAGGGCCCCGCCATGGGTCTCAACGTAGGGTTTCGGGTTTAGGTTTAGGGTTTCCTTCTGCATTTCTTTTGTGTGGAATTGCCTATCAGACCTTGCCCCTCTAGAGGAGCACTGTAGCTCCAAATGCCCGTGCGTGCTTTGCACTTTTTTTTGTATCAAGGGGTTTAGCTATCGGAGATAATGGTCTTTGGTCGTGTCCCATGGGACTTCATGTCACGTTGTAGTTTCCCAGAACTTTCCTCTACACAGCTTGCATCTGGCCATGGGGGGTGATCCAGGCAAGAGGCGAAGGCTTTGGTGTGGATTAGGGTAGAACCAAAGCAAAGCAGCAACCGTCCGTCGCATCTAAGGAGATACAGAGGAGAGGTGGATGGGGTGAACGACGGATAGTGACAGCTTTTTTTCGCAGGATCTTGTAAACCCTCCTTGTGGGTATATTTCCCCTATGTAATCCTTCATAAACCCTAAAGCCTATACTTCAAGCCCCCCTACACTTCAAACTTCAAACCCTAAACCCGTACCGTAGGGGCCCAAATAATTACCAATACTATTTTTTGGGGGGGTTCCAGTTCTAATTATAGTATAGTGGGCCCCAAAAAACCTATTCTAACTATCAAAGCCCCTACGTTATGTGCCAACCTGAGGCCCGAAGGTCAAGTGCTGAGTCGCTGCCTCAGAGAGCCGCAGATCTGCCGGCCTTGGACTCGAGGGGTCTACCGTTGAAGCTTCGAGTATCCGTGTACACGAGTAGCCTTGATGATGACGCCTACTACTCCTACTGCTCCTACTCCTACTCCAACCCCCCAGCTACTGCGACGTCGACGAGTGACTATGGTGGTGTAGGTGGGGGGATTCACCCTTAGACAGAACCTGAGGCCCCAAGCAAAAAGTCTGAATCACCGAAAGATGCAATTGTCGGGTTTGTCCCCAAGCAGAGCCGAAAGTGCCAAAGGCGAGCGATGCGGAACCCCTGCATTCATGCCGGCATCTCAGTTCATGGGGTCGTTTAGGGCGTTCTCATATGAGGTCTTTCTTAAGCCCCCTATGTTCAGAAGCTCCCACATGTGTCTTCTTCTTAAACACCCTAACCTGCCTTGAGCCCCCCAAAAAATCCTGCACGTCCAGTGCTCCTGAAACCAACCCGGGAGTCCTTCGAAGTCTCCCTGGGAAGCTGGGGTTCGAGCCCCGAAGCCCATGCGCTGCTTTCAGGAGCTTTGGAATTTGTCCGTGTTCTGTTTCCGCACCCCAAAACCCCAAACCTGAAGGGTTAGGGTAAAAAAGGGGTGTGATATAGGGGCCTTAACACTTAGAATAGGGTTTTGTGGCCCATTATACTATGTAATTATAATAAGGAACCCGCAACATAATAGAGGTAATTATTCAGGCCCCTACAGTATACGGTTTCCAAAAGCCTAAGCACTTCGCCCCTTTATGAACCTAAGCCGTTCCCCGGATCTCTTCAAAGCTTTGGGCTTCAAGGTACAATGCTGCTCCCGAGACTACCTAGAGGCTCATACCAGACCTTACTCCCACTTAATTTAGGTTACTTACTCTGCTGCATAACAGATCCTAACTGAAGAATTAGGTATTCCAAAGACGGCTCATAGGGGGGCTTGTTGCCAGAGTTCAGCCTTCTAGGCTTCCGGCAGAGAAAGCACGCCAAAATGTAATCCGTGGATGTCAGAACGCTGCTCCCGTCTTGTAACTTCCACTAGTACCGCCCTGCAACTCCTCGGACGAGCCCGAGACTTCAGAAGGTGTTCTGAATCGAAGATGCACAGGAGAGTGTTCGGAAGAGTGAGTCGATGCTAGAGTTTGAGCCTTGATTCGGAGACCCTACGGTCTGGGGGAAATGTAGCACCTGGATATCAAACTTATGTTGGAGTCAGGGCCTTGAAGCGAGGATTCTACCTTTTTGCACTTGCATTCTGTTCAGAAGCTCCACCGCCCAAAACTACGGCTGAAGAAGAAACCATCCGTCGAAGTGAACTGGGTGCCCAACCCCTAAGCCCCTAAGCCACGAAACCCAAGATCGGGGGACCGCTCTGAATTAGCAGACACATCGAGGTCTTTTGCAGGGACCTGAAACTTTGTCTCGTCTCAGCGTCAGCCTCCGTGCGACATCTGGAAGGCACCAAGCGTATCCAAGTATTGTTGCTGACAAGTTCTAAGGTCTCCAGAACTTCACTTGCTGCGGGGGCCTTGGTGTTCTCCGCATTAAGGGTGCAGGTTTCAAGATAATGTATAGCTGAATACCAACCACAGTCATGCGTTGCCACCAGTCCGGACCAGTAACCGACCAGTTCCGACTTGTCCCGACCAGCCCCCGGCAGTCCCGACCAGTCTTCCGACCAGTTCCGGCCACTCTGGAGCAGTGCCCGATCAGTCCCAACAGTCCCGACCGGACCAGTCCCGATCAGTCTAGTCCCGACCAATCCCCGACCAGTCCCCGAGCAGTCCCGAAAAGGTCCGACAAGTCCCGATCAGTCCTTGAGCAGTCCGAACCAGTCCTTGGGACTGGTCGGACTGACTTGTGGAGGCTCGGGATTGGTCACAACTAATCGAGCACTGGGACCGTGTTCAGCTGTCTTGGCATGCATGATCGGGCTTGCTTGCAAATCATCGTCTCGTTGTGTGCCGGGTCTCGCCTTACACCTCGCAAAGAAGTCTATATCGATGTTTAAACTGTGGAGAGGCCCAATGTTAATGAGATTAGCAAAAGATGCACCCTCGCACACCACAAGCTGTGCGAGCAAATTGTGTTCCCACAACGCAAGTTGCCTCTGCTTGCTGCCATGTTATCCGGATTTCAGAGCATTAGACTTAAGGTTATCCCAGGCAGAAAAATTGTCTGCGCGCGACTCCTGAATCATGTGCGCGTGGAACGATGCTCAATTTTACTCAGGCTCCTCCTGCGCAAGGAGCAACGAACTCACACAACTACAATCAAACTCAACAATACACCTAAGACCTAAGCGAAGCTATGGTTGCACCACACAAGCAATTGAAGCGACACGTACCACGCAAGAAACAAAACACCCCTGCACCAACCTAGCGCTTACATTTCATAGTCTCATCAACAAGCAACACCTCCCTTGCACCGGGTTTTGGCCTGAAGTGCCCGCAACCCCTGAAAGAAATAAGCCTTCTAAGGGCTTGCCAAAATTATATATATAATATATATATATATATATATATATGTGTGTGTGTGTGTGTTCTCT